AAGCAATGTCATAACCAAACACGTGCCATACTGAGATTTCATTTCCTCTCAAATAACACTGCATGCCTTCATAAAAACAACACATCAGTATTTATCATAAAAATGTGCAAAGCAATGACATTTTTAAAAGAATTTAAATGCATACGTTCTTTTATGTGTGCATTTATACAAACACATGTTTCTCCTAGAGTTTAATTGTTTGTGAATAAAATCAGCACATGCGGCTGCAGTTTATAATCAGTTAAAATGCTGTAATGAAACACAGTATTTTAGGTCAGTGTAACAGGATATTCTGGTGAAGCAGCTGTTCTATGAGTTCTGTGGTTTGTGTTTCACACGCACACACACACAGCTGGTTCATGGCACAATGTGGACCCCGATCACTCGCCCCAGCGCTCCTGGATCTGGTGGAGCCACAGAAACACACGGCTTCCCACACTTCTGTATTCATCACATGAAATCACTCACACAATAGAAGTGTGTCGGTTCCCACAGGCCTGGACTAACTGGGTTTCTGGAGGGAAGCTTAAAGGATGCTATTCAAATTTTGTTGATTTATTTGCTTAATATGTTGTGAGCATTTCAGTGATACATTTTATAATTTTTTATATATTTTTGTGTTTTGATTTTATTCTGTAAAGCACATAAGTGACCTTTTAAAAACACTATTTCTTAATAGTTACAAAAAATTCTTAATCTACAAATATTACCACTGTATTTTTTTCTTGAGTGCAAGTGAATATTGATTTTAAAAAACAAAGTAATCAAAAAAAATACACATAACATTTATTTAAACTCATTAAATCAACTGCGTGTCTGATTGAATTATAAGAATACAGCAAATATTTTCCATAAATCCCCAATGCTACATATTGAATGTAATAAAAAAATAAAAAATAAATAAAAAAAATACCTTTTTAGTGATGTATCACTTATATTTTTTAAAAATATCTATTTTTTCCATTTTTCTCTGTGAAATGTCTTCAGAAGCTATAACTAAAAAATTAAATCTATTTCAAATTAAAACTGATATTATTATTGTTATTTAACACTGGCGATATTAAGTCAACATGGATTAAAAATGAAAATATAAATTTGTATAAAACACTTTACACCCAACTATAAATTCAGTTTGCGACTGAATCATACACATACAGTAAATATTTCCATAAATCCCCATTGCTAATCAAACTGTGAGAACAGCGAAATCCGGAGTCCTCATGCCCTCAATTATTCTCCCACAGCTGACCCTCCAGATGGCACTATTGAAAAAAATCCCACCTGTCCACTAAAGAGCTCAATTAAAAGCCCACGGGCCAATGACAATTATGACAAGCCTATTGTTCCATTTTCCTCTGATTGGCTGGCTGTGGATATGTTTTGGTATAAAAGTGGGCTAGATTGAGGGTCTTGTGTGGGATTTGGTTTTGCCACTGAAGAAGAGCCACACGGATCTGTCAGCTTCAGATATTTCAACTCTTGACCACCGAAACTCAACATCAGCACCAAACATGCCTTCCTACATGGACATCACCCCTCAAGACAACGTTCACTATGCTAGGTAAGAAAGGCATTGAAATACCTGCAATAGTCTAATTTTACTGCTTCATTAATTTGATATTATTTATACACACTCATAATAACACTAAAGATGTTCTCTTCTGGATTGCAGGTGCAAACTCTACAGCTTGGAGAGAAAATGTTTCAGCAAAGTGGAGAAATTGAAATCTTCTTTTGAAGACCACCTCCAGCACGGTATTCCCACATCCGACATTTTGGAGAAGACCGTGTCCTTCTTCAGCTCAAAGAAGGCCTTAATCTTCCCCAGCGGCTACTCCAGGTGTTCTCGTGAAATTCTGCGTCTTTCTCCCACTCCCACGGCATCAGGCCGTGACGCCATTGTTTTAAAGTGAACGACCTGCACATGAAAAGGGTCAACAAGACAAGCACTTGACAAGCAATCTCATGTGTTCGCACATCTACCTCAGAGGAAAATAGCACTTTGCTTGTTCTCTCTGGACTTTTTCTTTCCCCCTCTAAAGGACTGATCATGTCATTGCACAGTTTGTAAAGACAAGAATATCAGCTCACAGGGCTCATAAATGAAGTTGTGCATCGATTGTAATGAAACCACCAAGCCGAGGATGCATTTTGTGCATTTAGATATAAGATTCTGCTGTATTTTTTCTCTTAAAGAGACATTTACTGAATGTTTTTGAAACCATTTGACCATGCTCTCTTTTTGAGGACATGCAAAAACAGAACTTTATTTCATTTTTAAAGATACAGTGTATCATTTGTTTATTTGTGTGATTCTTTTTTAATCATTTGTATAATGCTCTAGCTTGTTTCTATAAAATAAATGAATTAATTGCATCTATGTCTTCCTATAATTTTGTTACTTGAATGTGGGCAGATTCAGAAAAAAAATCTACTAAACAATCTTAGAAAACCAACTTCTTAAATGTCTAATATTTTTAGCAGGCAG